CTATCTGTGTAGCAGGCTGTGGGAGCCCATACGGCCGTGAGACTTCGGGGTTCCAATATTTTCTAGGTAATCGGCTCACAGATGGCGGTGAGACTGTCAGCCTTACGCGCTAGCCGGCCATCCTGTATCCCCAGACAGATTTCTGTTAAGAGGCTGCGTCGAACACAGGGCCATAGTGCGGCTAGAAGCATTAGATAAAGTGAAAATCTAATGACCTCATCAGGAATCAAACCCGCGACCTTCCGGCTTGTAGTACAGTGTCTCAACCAACTATCCCACAGCGTGTCCCTCTACTCTCAAATAGATAAACCATATACTAGTCTATAGTAAGAAATTATTTTTATCAGAACCCTTATATCTTGCATTTGGGCGACGCTCAGTTCGATTCTTGGCAGGAACATAGACTATCTTGACTGAGGCTTTGTGTGGTTTTCCTTAGCCTTAACAGGCAAATGTCGGAATAGCACATCAAATTAGAAAACAAACGCCTCCTTTCACATCCCTTCCAATTTATTATTCATTATCATCCTACCATTTGACACCGTAGAGCCTGAGTTACTAAGTGGGTCGTTAAATAAACCATAAACAAATAAATGAATTAATCAAACATCTGCTGCTATACTAAGTTTCCTGCTCTACAACGGAGACGTCAGGACGCGCTGCAGCTAAGAGTGTGGGCACCTTTCTATCTCAAGCCAGGAATAATAACGCCTCCAGGTGTGGATTTGGCTTTCAAGAAACGTATTGTGTCCGTGCCCACACGGCTATTCCATTCACAATACGCAATGCCGGCCCCCGGCTTTGTCTTTCGCCTTCAGATTGCTTCTACATTTATGACTCCCACCATGAACCCTTCTTGTAGCGTTTAGCATTTCCACAGCTTCACATCTGTTCCTCAGTAGCAAGGGTAAAGTTGCTTCTGCAGATTCTAAAGCGTTCTGACGGTGCGGTCTGTCCAATGAAATGAGTAGGGCCCGGATTTTGATGAAATGTCATATTTTTTTCCTTGTATCCTATGCGATGCTCTTAAATATATAAATCTCGGATATGAGCTGCTGGTTACAGAAATGTACATTTTATAGGTAATTTTTTGTCATTTTTTGACATTTCTATGTTTAAGGTCATTTTTTCATTTTGGGGGTAATTTTTTGGAAAATGTTTGGACTTTCAAGGGTATTCCTTGTCATTTTTGGCCATTTTAGGGAATGTTTCTTCATATGTTTTCTGAAATGTGAATAACATGGAAGCGAAGTGTTCTTTCATTTCTCTTTTAGGTCATTTTTCTGGATTTTTTTCGGTCATTTTATAGGTCAGTCTTTAAATATTTTCAGGTCATCAAAATCCGGGCCCTGGCAATGAGTACCAGGAATCTTCCTTGGGGGTAAAGGGCGGCCGGAACATAAGGCTGACAACCTTGCCGCCATCTGTGAGCCGATTGTCTAGAAGATGTGGGAGAATCAACCTCACACAAACCTTTGGGCCTCCACCGCTTGTTACAGGGACAGCTTTACCTTTTTAACTTTACCAGTATTCTAAAGAATACTAAAGAACGCAACGTTATGGAAACTGGATTTCTTTACGTCCTCAGGTGAGCGGTACGAGACACCTACTATGTTGGGGCGGTTAGAAAGAGCTAACATCAATCACTGGACATGTTCAGCTGACTGACAAATCCAAAAATCCAGTAATCCCGACGGGTGTATTCGCTAAAAACCACAACTACAAAAACTGCATAATATGGAACAATCTTTTTTATTGCTAGTGGGGTGGGACTAAGTCCCTTGTACTGCGGCCACTTCTGGCCTATTGTTCCAGCCCCACATGATAGGTGAGGATGATTGTGGAGCGATTGGTGAAATGAAGATTGTCAGGGGAAACCGAAGTACTCGGAGAAAACCTGCCCCAGCGCCACTTTGTCCACCACAAATCCCACTTGACCAGACCCGGGATCGAACCCGGGCCGCCACGGTGGGAAGCTGCGACTAACAGCTTGAGCTATGACGCGGCCTAATATGGAACCATACTTGGGCAACTAAATTAAAATAACTTAGTTTATGTTTTATGGAATTTTCCTGATGATGACCTAAGTAAATTTCGATACCTATAGCATATACCCGTTTACAATGAACGAGTGAGACATCACGAATCCATTTTATCTCCACCCTGAAGATGTCCTTCTTCATGTTGCGTTGACGGTCCAAATTCACCTAACTATACCAAAAGGTTCTCTTATCTATAATTAATTAACCACCACGCCATGAAGACGTATGGGGGAGTGGCGGTACAATTCTATGTTTGCTTAACCTCGTCACAAAATATAAGTGTGTTGAGTTTAACGCCTAAGCCCCATAACCTCGAGGAAGAATCCTCCAGCAACCATTTGGTAGGAATAATGGTGAGCACCATCGCCTGTCTGGTCACCGCGAAAAAGAGAAAAACTTTTGCGCCTACCAGGAATCAATTTCCGATTCATTGATGGTCGAGTCTATAGCCTTTCGCCAATCGGCTGAATAGTTTTCAGTTCGGGTTTTAAAATCCAGCAACAAATTGTTTTATAAACATGCTATCTATTCCGAATGCTTTTCCTCGTGATTGTATACGCTTTTTGTTAAACACTCTCTCAATCAAACGTTAGGACTTCAAACGGTGAGCCCTCCACCGTTATAAACTGCAGACGAAATAGTAGTTTCAGAGGAGAGAAATTCGGTGTACGCTTTCGCACTACAAAGTACTTGTATTTACAGATTTGTCTGTCAGGAACAAAATCTAAACATATTAGTGGATGCTCCATCTGTCCGCTCTCAAGAATTCGGTTCCTTTCAAGACCAGTAAGAGAGGAAGTGCTATGGTTATGGGTTTCTAACCCTGTTCCGTCTATAAACGTACATGACGTGTTTATCTAATTTATTTCTCTCCTTAAAATGATTTACGTCTCATCTAAAAACTTGATTCCGGTAGGCTGACTCAAACAGAGGTTAAGGTAACCTAAAATTAACTGAAACTGCTTTGTGATTCTGAAAATCGCGATATTGCTATTCATAGCCAGCAACAGAAACAGTTCTGCAGACAAATAGTATCTGAATATACTGATACAATAGCCCTTAGTTATCAAACACAAAAATTATATTGTATCTTCTGTTTATTTAACGACGCTTACAACTGAGATTATACAGTGTCATATGATAGGATGATAAGTAAATAACTGGGAAGGATGTAGAAGCAAGTGGTCGTGGACTGATAAGTGGTACTATCCCAACATTTGTTTAAAAGGACTGAGAAAATCCATGAAAATCGCCAGTTAAAGTAGAGACTTCAAAATCGCATCTCCCGAGAGATTTGGTAACAGATTCCAAAGTTATGGAAACCAGACATTTCGCCGTACTCGCAAAGGAAGATGGGGAGGCGCCTATAGAGTTGGGTCCATCATAAAGAGATACTCAATTCCAGTCATCAAGACCCAGTTTCCTAAATATCAGACTGTGGACAAAGTCTATAATCCTATAAATCCCAAGCGTCAAGTTTAGCTATAGAATAACGTCAGTTTCCGGTTTCACAAAGAGTTTCACAATAGAGTTCCGGAAACTATAAAAAAAAACTATCCTTGTAACAGGCCGTGGCGCCCCATAGGGTTATAAGACGTTGAGGCTCCCACATTTTCTACACAATGCTCACGGATGGCGGTGAGGTTATCAGCCTTACACTCCGGCAGCCCTTTACCCCCAGGAATAATCCTGGTACTCATTTCTGTTATATGCTGAGTTAACCCCAGGGCCACAGTGCGGCTGGAAGAATTAGGTCAATTGAAAAATCCAATAATCTCGTCGGGAATCGAACCCGCGACCTACGCAGACATCTAAGAACGGATACATAAGAAGGGGAGAATGTTACTCTTTTCCCTTATGTTTTCAATAAGAATATGCCCTTCTCTGATTGGCGATCACATTGGGCGTTATACGGAATTTGGCGTAGTTTATCTCATATTAAAAGACGCTGTTAGAGTTGCGACTGTACAGCGTCGATGTCCGGACTATTAATGAATGCAAATCAGTTGGTGGAATGAGAGCTGGCAGCAGAAAACGAAATACGCGGAGAAAACCGACCCCTATGCAACTTTGCGCGCCACAAATCCCCGGGCCGCCCTTGTGGGAAGCCGGCACTAGACAGTTAAGCACGAGAAACCCATCGCCAATACCTGTACAGTGTCATGTAGTGCTACGTTATAAACGTTTCGCTTGCCAGGGTCTTCTTCCTCGGCTTACTCCTCTTTAACACTGAAGATGGTGGCAAGTACGTTCTTTTGAAACGTCAGTGAACTACCAGACTACAAGGTTTACATTCCGGAAGACAGTGTTCTTTATAAATGTTCAGCTTGCAGTCAAAACCGCATTTTAGTGCGTCATTTCCGGGGTCTTGATCCTGCTTGGTAACTGCGTGATTCAATGAGCAATTCATTAGCCGGCAGAATAGCACAAGCATTTGTTTATGGACCGACTCCATGAACTAGAGTTCTTCTTGCAGATGTGACTGTTGGTCCAGATAGTCAATATCTCGTCATTTATGGAATCTCTGAGCCCTCCATTTGGTCCCTATCCTTAGCCAGATGAACCCGATCACAACTTTAGAACCTATTGAAATTCAATTTTAATATTATTCCTTCTGTGCCTAGGTGTGCCACCTTTCCATCAGGTTTATCGCCTAGAATTTTGAATTCATTTCTCGTTTGTCTACGTTCGCCGTCTATATTGTCCCGAAGGTTAGTAAGTATAATTAGAAAGAGAACCTGCCTGATCAAAGGATAATTAAAAGAAGTCTTAATTTACCAGTGGTCGAATTGGTTGGTACGGGATTTCTATTTGAAATCTGAAATCAAAACAATTCACTCCACAATTTCGCGTTCCGACACGAAGGAGTTTGCAAGGTAACTCGGTAACGGAAGACGTGAAATGGGGAATATATTGTTGAAATAAACACAAATGTATGTATGTATTACTCAGACTTACCAAAGAGATGGAGATGAAATGCAGTCTGACACTTATCCAACGACAGAAATGATGTACTGTTATGTACCGATGTTATGTCCTTATTACACTACAACCACAACACAACGGGCGTCAAACTCCTTCAGTCGCCAATTTTATAATTCAAAATGAGTAACATTCATTACACTATAACGATGCTCCTAATATGACACTGTCGAAGTGATAAAAATTAATTGTCCTCAGTACTGCAGCAACAGATTTAAAAGAAGGCCATCTGTGATAACTGTTATTTTCAACCACTAATTTTCAATTCACTTCATATTTCACCGCCTCCAGCTACACCACTGACCAGTGACGATTAAAATTGACTGTTGCATTATATCGCTGTAAATAAACATATTCTGTTCATTTCACAATAATCCATTGCGCGGGTGAACACATATAACACTTTTCTCCGAGTTACGAAAGTTATGATTTTGTTCAATGTACAGAAAATGTATGAAAGTTCACACGAAACACAAGTGCGGAAGAGAAGACTTGTACAGGGCCCTCATAACATATCTAAAAGTCACTGTCATGGCCCTATTCGAACGTGAACCTCGGCCTGCAACTTCCCAATACCCCACCTACTCGACGCATATCCACCGAAGCAACTACTCGTGCCGTGGTAAAGAAGCCGGCCCCTAAGCACGGGCCTAGCCGAGCGTACGAAGTGCGCAGGTCTCAGACCGACCCTTCCAGACCGCCTGCCCTCTAGCGCAGCAGTCTGCAACCTTACTTCATTCGCTACCGAAGCCCAACAATATAATCATAAAACCAGGTGGGTTGTAGTACTGTACGATTTGTTATGCGTTTGTGCTTAAGTCTGATGAAGATATTCAATAGTTATCGCATATTAATTTGTGTTACTGGAATGAACGTATTCGTAGCCAAGGCCATACAGAAGAGATCTCCAGTTTGAAATATCCGTTGCCCTGAAATGTCCAGGACAGCACGGAAAAAATGAGTGTTTATACAGTCAATTGTGGAGTTTTGGATTATTAAGTTTAAGTGTAGTATTTAACGACGCTCTCAGTGTCGAGACTATATACCATCACTGATAGGTTGGTTAATGAATATGGAGCAGTTGATGGAATGAGAATTGGCACGGGAAACCGGAGCACTAGGAGGAAACCTGCCTCCAAACCACTTTGTTCACCACAAATCCCATATTACCTTACCTTGGATCAAACTTGGGCCAAAGCCATAGAAAGCCGGCAACTAACCGCCTGAACTGTGGCACGACTTCTGGGTTATGATACCGTATAATCTGGTAGGTAGAAAAGTTTTGTAGGAACGCTTTGTCTGCATTTTCCTCAACCTTAAAGATGGATTAAAAATGTTCCTCCGGAACCTTGGTGGCCATTTACCAGACTAAAAGGTATCATAACCAAGATGACCAACTCCGAATCTTCATTCCTGTGAAAACCTCAAATCTTGTCGTATTCGTTCCATTCGCGATCGGCGGACCAACACGCATACTAAAAAGTTCCTTTTCTAAGTTTTTGCTTCCTTCACAGATTTTTTTATGACCATCTCCTACTCCAATCACTTTTATAAGCCTCTTTCATAGGACTCCCTGGACAGGGGATCGGTTAGTCGATAGGCTTTTGTCAGCAAACGGCAAATAGCGAAAACTAATTCCAAGGACTGAAGTACCTGAGATGCTATTAGTCGCTGGTCAAGAAATCCTTCCTAATTTATAGAGCCCGAAGGCTCATTATCCTGTTCACAAAAGAACACCACTGGACCACATCCTGAGTCAAGACGAATTTAGTCAATATTACGTATTACACACTATTTCCCTAAACCCATTTTAATATCATCCTTCCATTTCTAACTAACCTTGTTATCAAATGATCGTTTCCTTTAAGATTTTAGGCTCAACATTTTGTATGAATTTTTCATCTCGCCCATGCGTGTTACATGACCCCACTGGTTACGTTCACATGAGGTTATGGAACTTGTGATGCGCATGCGTGGGGCGTTTGTCTGTTCCGTTTCTATCGCAACAGTTCAGCTTTCAAGTCAATATTTTTCTCAGTTCATTCTACAAAAGGAGCATATCATAATTAAGAATGCCGTCTTCTGGGGTGTGACACCGCGTAGATCTTGTGTGAATCATCATTTCGGAGGAACGTCGGTTCACACAAGAAGAGAGCATTCTTCATAGTCACCGCCGTGAAAACCTCAAATCTTACATATCATAATTAGATCGAGTCTGTTTATACATGTGTTTCCTCTCAATGTGCAAAAATTTCTGAAAAAAAAAACAGATCCTGTATAAAACCGAACTTGGGTGACACGAACTGTAATTAAAAACTGCCTTCAATTTTGTTTTCTTTTCCTTGACCCTACAGCCCCAATGGGCCTAGGTCTACCTCCATGAACTTCTCCGTTCACTTCGGTTTTTCTAGATATTACACATTTGGTAGGACACCTTGGGCGGGTGATCAGCTCGTCGCAAGGCCTCTACCTGTACGCAAACACAGAAAAACGCGCACACACAAACTGAACATCCATGCCCTGAGTGGGATTCGAACCCACGATCCCGGCTTCCGAGCGAGCGAAGACAGTACATGCCTTAGACCGCTCGGCTACCGTGACCGGCTGCCTTCAATTTCTAGTACTTCCAAATAAACATAGGTATTTTCACGTATATGGGCGACTAAAGACGGGGTTCGGATTGGTAATTGGATTTATTACCAACCTACAGGCCGTAAATACAAATTGTTATAACACTGTTACTGATTACTGACTTTCACACTACAAAGTACTCCACGCTACTCTTTTCAGTCTATCTGCACCAGTCTTCACGGATTTATGACACAGAAATTATATAATTCTCACTAAATCACACACTCCCAATACCACCGCACTATAGCACATATAAAGTCTTCAAGTCACATGTTAAATATTCGCAGGCTGACTTCCTGTACTGTTCAGTACTCCTTGAACTTGCTGCTTGCTTGGCCGCGCCATAGCTCAAGCGGTTAGTCGCTGGCTTCCCACCGCGGCGGCCAGGGTTCGATCCCGGGTCTGGTCAAGTGGGATTTGTGGTGGACAAAGTGTCGCTGGGGCACGTTTTCTCGGAGTACTTCGGTTTCCCCTTCATTCCACCAATTGCTCCACAATCACCCTCACCTATAACCTGGGGCTGGTACAATAGGCCAGAAGTGACCGCAGTACAAGGAACTTAGCCCCACTCCACTAGCAATAAAAATAATAATACTGTTTGCTTGTTCGCGTGTTTCTGCCGCTACAACTACTCTAACTGCCCTGAACGAATTCTGTCACTCTTATTTATATAGCTGCGGAACAGACATGGACCTACAGTAAACGCATAGCACGTAATCGCTATCCATCCAGTCTATTGCTGCGTCGGTCGGATCTACAGATCCGGATCTATTGTTGCGTGTTGGACCCTGTTTACAGAGCTGTTGTCTGGCAACGCGTTGAGCAAATCCGTTACAGTATCATTTTTCTTACATATTTTTGGATTATTTAACGATGCTGTCAGTATATCCTCTTCTCCAAGTATAATTAGAATGATCAAGTCAAGGAGGATGAGGTGGGAAGGTCACGTAGCACGAATGGGGGAGACGAGGAATGTGTATAGGATATTGGTGAGAAAGCCAGAAGGAAAGAGACCACAGGGAAGACCAAGGCGTAGGTTGGTGGACAATATTAGAATGGATCTTAGAGAGATAGGATGGGATGGTATGAATTGGATAGATCTGGCTCAGGATAGGGACCAGTGGAGGGCTCTTGTGAACACGGTGATGAACCTTCGGGTTCCATAAAATGCTGGGAAATTCTTGAAGCTGCAGAATTGTTGGCTCCTCAAGAAGGGCTCAGCTCCATGAGTAAGTAAGTTACTAAGTCGGTATATCAGATTATATAGGGCCGAATAATTGGCTGTTTAGTAAATAATGAACTGAAAATGACGCTGATGGTGGCAGTCATGGCCTAGTTGAGAAAATCCACAAAAAAGAATCAGGACAATCAGTACTCTGATCAAGACTCAAAACAGTCACCTCAGAAACATTATCGCTTGAGCCCACCCGCTCAATAATATTGGTGCCGTACTTTGCCCAAAGCACTGATCTCGAGAATTCTGAAGGGTCACGGAAATTCGTGGTTGAGTAGTTAAGTTCTGGAGAAATCGGACACGCTATAACAGCTTCCTTACAAATTCATTCCAATTAGTTACTCACAAATATCATTCCCTGTTGTCGTCGCTACATAACCTACGTGGTTACAAGGCTACTTTAAGTAAACCAGGAGTCATTCAATCCTGTATTTCAGCTTCATAATCTGGCCTACAAATTGGACCTACTGACCAAAGGTTTAAAAATTATTAGTGGAAAGTTCACCTAACCAGAAATTTCTATACTGATTTGAACTTCAATCTTGTATTCGAGTTCTTAAAGCTCCACAGTGTTGAATAAGAAAAAAGAGACAAAAAATAAGGGAGGGGTTGTGAAGACTGGGGGGTGAAGGTTAGAGGAGAGATAATGGATATTTTATACTTTTCTTCTGTCTTCACTCTCCCACATATCTTCTTTCGGAAACAGAAGACCTAACATCAGGAAGAGCAACTACCTAATGTCTACTTCTTATCTCTCCATTCAATCTTTGGGGTCAGAAGTAAGTTTCGAACCAGAAGAAGAAACTAAGATAAGAGGGTAGAAAAGTGAAAAGTGAGTGGATGAAAATTGCTATAAATGTTAATATAAAGACCCATCTAAATTCATTACAGGCAAGAAAGACCTCACAGCATTGGTTATCTATATGCCTTCATACCTACAGGATATTCGAAAGCATCAGAAACAATAAGCACTGTCAGTAATAGATCAAAATCAAGTAAATTGCCACTTAGTTATGTGGCCGAGAATTTAAGGTCCACCAGCTTGGTAAATGATGATAATGACGGTGGTGATGATGATGATAATATTACAGTTCAGCATCCTGTTGCATATATATATATATATATATATATATATATATATATATATNTCTTCAGAATTGACGTAGACAAAAGGGTTAACTGCAGGTTCTGAGCTCCGGAAATGTATTCATTCTATATTATATAAAAATTAACTGAGAATGTAGTTACAGTATCACTCACTCATTCATCTCCGGCTTTAATGCAACTTAAAACTGTTCACAGTCTTTCTTTAATTTAAAATAACGTTAAAATCGCATCAATTGCTACATGTTTCGGCATTACTTTGCCATTTTCAGACAATTGTCAATTTTCGAAACCGTCGCACTTCACGAGACTTTTAAGTCAATGTATTTCCATGCTATTGAATTATCGTTGTTCACGCTAAATTACGTTTGTTTGAGAACATAACTCTCTCTCCGTTCCGTGTTACTTTTCTTTCGCGCTGTCCATATTTGTGTCCCTTCCCTGCGTGTGTTCCCACTAGCAGAGGTGTATGTCCCTTGACAGTAACAATTACTGCGCCTATTTACTTAATAGTAAAATTATGTTGAAACTGACAGCAATAACTACCGAAGAATATAACTATTGAGGAAAATATCAAAATGAGTTGTGAGAGTGTGAAAATGGATTCATTTGGCTCAGGATAAAATCCAG